AAAATTCTTTTTTTCCCCCAGCCCCCCCCCCCCCCCCCATCCCTTGCAAACACTATTGGTACTACTGAACTAAAACATATAAACTCCTGAAATTGCTTCATTTTTTTTTTCCTAGCTCTTGAATTTTGCTTCAGTAAATTACATGACTGTAGAAATGTATTCAGTCCTTGCTAAGAAAAAGATGAAATATTAGGTGGTTCTTGTCGAGGTTAAAGCTGCAATGCCTTAGTTCTGCAACAGAGTAACTCTCCTGCTATTACATTATTATATATTTTAAATTATAAAATTGGGACTTATGTTTAACCTGATTCAATGTAGTCTGTAGGTAATGCTTGCTTTTAAGGAAGTATTAGAACTTTTTCTACAAAAAGTGCGTTCATTAAAATACAAAATGGAAAATTACATTTTTGTGATGTGATATATTGCTGTGATAGAATATACCTAATATACCTCCTCAGATTGTTATGCCTAGATCTGAAGACATTTCCTTCTCCTTAGATAAAACAACTATATATCTGAAATGTTTTCAGATCTAGGCGTACCTATTTCTGATACAAATGGATGCAGCTGACTATTTTTTTTTTTTTAAAGGAAATTTCTGAGTAATTGCTGAAAGTAAAGCTGTCTGTTATGGTTCTCTTTCCCACTTTTCCTCTGACTTTTTTTCTGCAAATAACAAAGCTTATTCCTAACTAGTGTGTGTGTGTGTAACCTTTCCTCCAGTAAGTGTTACTTACAAGCTCTGCAAAAATACAATAATACTCACACCAGTTGTGTCTTAATGCATAAAGTTTTTCTGGAAATATTGCATATTAAATCAGTGAGAAAGTTAGTTAACTTAAATTGCAAAGCGTGACTGTCAGAAGTTTGAACACTTTCCCATATTTGCCTCTCGATGGCTTTATTGGTATGCTGAAGGAAAAGCTATTCATTTTAAGTTCAGTGCTTCAAATATTTCAAAGTCTTCACTAGAAGATACTGTCAGATCCAAAATTGTTTGTTCTTTTCTTGTTTTTCCAGTCTTGCAGGTTATGTAGAAGCTTTAGCTTCACGTCTAGGTCTGTCAATCCCTGATCTGACACCCAAACAAGCTGATATGTGGCAAACGCGTCTTAGTGCACACTTGGTGAGTATCCCGTAGGTAGGCACTGTTTCCATGGAGCTTTTTTTGTTTAAACTAATATGTGATAAATCCTTTTTGTCACTCTGCCATTAAATACTTAACGACTACTAATGTTTTGCACACTTCCTGGAAGGTTTAGTTGTGAGCCTATGTCAGGGAGCATCATGAGACTGGATTGTTTTGGGCTTGGGGGGGGTTTTGTATGCAACAAACCATAAGTGACTAGTAACATGGATAGTCTCTGCAATGACTTCCTGTATGCTAATGCATGTAGCTGGGTTGAGCTCTGGCTACTGTAATAAGATAATTTATTTGAAAGTTATGACCCCTTAGTAGTTTACTCCTCTACAGTCTTTGTCAAGTGCTTGCTATTCATATACCTGTGCTAGTATGTATTCATTTCTAATGTTCTATGATTAGCTTGGCTATGAAATTAGCTTTCCCCTGGGTAAACTTACAGCATTTGAGTAATATTCACTGCCTGGGTTTACAGTTATGGGGCACTCATCTTGCAGATTCATTTTCAGGATGATTATTTAATTAACATTGAAATGTTTGAAGCAGTCCCACTGCTTTAATGAAGAGTGTTAGTTTATTTTGATTAAAGAAACAGATTATAAGAAACTGAGTAAAGAACCAGACATTTCTTTCACTTTGCCAGAATGAACCTTCATGGGGGAAAAAATATTTTTGCAGATTTAAGAGAAGAAACACTTACTGAGGAAAAGTTAAAGGGGAAAAAAGCCTGGTTTTAGCAGTGATAGGTCAAAGCATTGAGTGCAGAAGAATTGGCATGTGGGCAGTGGGCTACCCTCTAGTCTGTCCAACATAAGTTTTCTCAGTGGAAGCCGAGTCTGTGGCTAAAGCCTGTCATTGCACTGCAGTTCATTCACAGTACTTTTCTGTGTGAAGACTTCTGAGCACCTTAGCCTGCACGCTAGCATTTTTTCTTTACGCGCTGTCTCAAATTTCTCAACACTATCCACCTACTGCTGGTGATGTGGTTTGGATGTTGCCTTTCTTATTTCTTTCTCCTGTTGACTTTTACATGTAGGTCAATCATGAAATGTTTTCCAATCTGTTTTTTTTTCCTTCACCTTGTGCCTTTGCTAATTCTCACGTTTCCAAGGAACTCCTTGTTTCTGACCTTGAAGACAATTTGCATTACCAGATGCAAGCAGATAAATTTATAACTGCATCTAAAATGTGTTTTGTGGGTGGTTTGTTTGGTGGTTTTTTTTCTCCTCCTTCTCTGTCTTCCTGGCCTTTCTACTAATCCTTTTAATCTCTGTCTCCTCCCTTACCACCTCTGCAGCTCTTCACAGGTCGTTCCCCTCTTTATTCAGAATTGTCTTTTATCACAGCACATGCTGTTTCTAACCTTGTCATATCTGTGTCTGTCTCATAGATTGTTTTTCTAGTCTGCATGCTAAAAAAAAATGTGGCTCCCAACCAAAAGCTAGAACAAATGGCCTGTTTTCCTGGTTGTGTTGGTACTACACAGCAAATGAGTAACAACTGATCAGTGAGAAACTTAATTTTTTCCCCCTTTCTCTAGGGTAAAGCTATTGGAGTGACCATTGGCTGCATTTTAGGAATGTTTCCTTTGTTGTTCTTCGGTGATGAGGAAGAAAAACTGGAAGAAAAGAATTAACCTTTTTACAAGACGTATACAAATGTAAACTACTGTACCTCAATTATTCAATTATGCTGTCAATATTTAGGAATTAACAGACAGTAAAAATGTATAGACTTGGGAACAAAACCTTCAGCATGTTGTTTTACGGAAACACTAATTTATTGTGGCTTTGTTGTGTTCAGTACTTCTTTTTATAAGATATCATCTAACTTTTTATTTAATTGTAAATTTTAGAAGTGTTTTCACTTAATGGCAACTGATGTTTACCACTTTCCCCTCTGACCTTATTCTTTAATGGATTATTACTTTAATAATCCACCATGGATGACAGTATCACTCTTGAGTTGTGTATTGGTTGCTTAGCAGTTGTAATTGCATGACAGAAATCTCACTGCTGTTCGTCAGGTCCTTCAATGCAGATTATTAAGGAGGTTCAGTGATGAGTAATTTAAGTCCCTCACTTTGCAAGGTGACTGGTTGCCCCCTCACCAGCCATCATTTTGCACTGCCTTTAGATTAGATATTTGAGTCATCTACAACAGTCTAATTTGCATTTTTTCACAATTCTGACTAAGTGTCTCTGAATTGTCTTCCAAGATGATCATTTTAATGCTTTGACAAGGTAAGTGTTTCCAGTGTAGGCTCTTTACCAAGTCATTTTTTTAGTACACCTTCTGTACTTCCATATTCATGCCATTTTCCTTTGTAAACAATATTTTGATAACTGAGTTGAGAGATCCTTAAATTTGTCTTGCTGAGTTTTGAGTGTGGTATTAAAGAATTCAGACCAACTGTTTCAAAACCATAAACAACTTTTTTTTATTGTACTGCTTAAAATAAGGTGTGAACAGTTGATTGGGTGGACAAGTCCAGGGAACACTTCAGGGTATGAATGAGTGCTGGCATTGCAAGTTTGTAATGGGTGGTTCAGTTGAAAGAAAGTGTACTGTCAGTCTGGATTAGAGGACCTGATTTGCAGATTAGAACTTTGTATTTAAGATTAAGCCTTTGCTACTTTTTTTTGCTGTGAGACAATTAATATAAAAAAAAAAACCCCTACAAACAAAGGAGGCTTGAGGCCTTTTTCCTTTTTTGCCTTTTATTTTTGCAGCCTTACTTGGTGTATTATAGATCTGACAGTGCAGTAACATGTAACTGTACTTTTTTATATGGTCAGGAATAAATTGATTACAACTATCAAATATTCATCATATTTCAGGATCTGACTTGCCAATAGCATAATGCTAAACTGATAACTGTTGATCAGAAGAGAGGGTTTCTTAGCTGTTTGAATACCATTTAGAAGAGAGGGTTTCTTAGCTGTTTGAATACCATTTGGAAAAGACACTAAAAAGAGAGGCACAGCCAGGGCATTTTGAAAGTTTTATTGCTGGAATTGTTAGCACTATGGAAACCTAGAAAGAAATGTTTTAAAAAAAAAAAAGAAAATTAAGTCCCCTGATGACTTTTATTTGCTATAGGAAAAGTCTTATTGTAACGTGTATGTTTTGCAGAGCTCATTGCTTATCTCTTGGTCATAAATCTGACTTCTCTGTTCTCATTTCTAAAGCCCTTTAACAGCAGTACTGAAACTTTGACATCAACCTTTAATGAAGGTGACAGTGTTGTATCTGTTTTTTGAAAAGGAGACTTTGAAAACTTGCAGTGAGTAGTCCGTGTACTGTACTTTGTACATTAAACCATGAGAATCTGGACCAAACTGTAAAACTGAAAGAAATCTCAGCCAGGCATAGAATACAGATGTAGAGGAGTTTTGGCTTGCATTTTCAAAGTGGGAAGCTTGGGGGGGGGGGCACCCAAACAAACAAACAACCAACCAAAAAACCTCCAACCACTAAGAAAAAACAAAACAAAAAAACCCACAAAAACCAGTCCTGCTAGAAAATTATGCATTCTTTCCCTGACAGATTGCTGCTGGTTTACAGTACTTCAGTGATCAGGTTTTTTTTAGTCACTCACACACTTGTCTTGCCTTAAACTCTAACTTCTTCTTCCTCTGCATGTACTTTTGTTCCTGGTATGTTTCTATACAAAGCTGTAAGTATTTCCCACGTATTCTTTTTTTAAACTGAAGTACACATCAAAACAATTTTGCGTAGCTTTTTTTGTAGCTGTTTTTACAGTAATTCCAACACTGTTTCCCATTATAATACTGGCATCTTCATTGGAATCTTCCAGCAGTGGCCAAACCTCTGTTCTTTGCCATCATCCCAACTGGAACACTGTTTTCATCACTTTTTTAGAGCTCATGAGAGCAATCAGAAGGCTGTGTCAGCTGTCATAGTAGTGTTCATTTTATAATGGCAATAGGAAAGACTGTGTACTATTGTTAAATAGCTTGTGCATGTAAATCGAGTACATCTTGTTGCTGTATGTCAAACTATTGTACTGCAACCAATGCTTTTATCAAGAATTAATGAACTAAAATATCTTCAAAGAAATTAATCATGTGTTGTCTTGTTAAACTATTTAGCTGACCACGAAAATGTGGAGGGCAAGTGACACATGGTAAGAAATCTTGGGTGTGTCAGGCTCTCTAATCCCAGAAGTCATCTTCTTGATTATGGTGTGTCAATATTTGACAAACGTGAAGAAATAACTCATGATTTGAGAGGAATAGTGGCTCTGCCGGAGGCTGAGAGAAAGTGCTTGTTGGGGCCAAGTACCTGAGTACGGTGGGTAGCTTGCTTTGCCTGCAGGATCCACTCTTGTGTGGATGTGGTACTGCTTTGTGTGGAAGGGAAGATCTGTGTCTGATCTGTACCCTGTCTCCTCACAAGGAGGGTGGGTTTTTCTGGGGTATATGGATGAAAGTCATCCCTGATGCTCTGATCACACTTCTTAAAACCCTTAACTGAGAAGAAGAAGCACTAACAAAACACTCCTCTGTTTTCTGTTGTCTTCTCCCTCCTTGATACAGGAAAAACAAACACTACAGGCTTATTCGGAGACTTCAGTATTGCTCCATTTTTTTTTTTATTCTATCAGTTTGTCCTATGGTAACAGGAATTTTTCATGTTAAAGGGCTGGTAGACCTGAAATTGTGTTTAAAATACTGTCTTTTACTGTAACTTAAAATATAAATGTATTTTTGACTGTATATTATCTCTAGAGACAAAAAGCATGCATCTGATAATATGGTTACCCAAATCCTCTTGCCAATATTTTCTCATTCATGTACTTTTACATAAATTACTTGAATTCAGACAACATATTTTGTATTGTCTTTAATTAAATTGTTGAACTTTCTGTAAACTTTTGTACTACAGCAAAGCTGTTCTGTGTTTCTTTATTAGACCAGATGCTGGAGGGGAAATGTTAATAATATCCTGTGGGTATTCAGCCTCAGTTATACAAAACAGGAATTTATTTAAGTTATAAGCAGGTGGTCCTTTGTCACTGTCATAGAAGATACCACTGTGGAGTGGTACTTCTGTCTCTTCAAGCTTGGAAGAGAGCGATTCAAACAATTAAAACATTTGCATGGTAAATTGGTGGCATGTTTGATTAATATTAGTCAGAAGTCCACTTGCACTTGGAACTTAGAGAATTAACTGAGTTTTTGTATGCAAATTAAGCCTTTTTGAACTCTCCTGGACTTTGGAGCTCTTCACTTCTTTTCACTCCTTTGTCAGTCCCTTTTGTGGATGTCTGTGCATAAAGAAGTGCTGAGAGTAAAACATCTGCACTGGACAGATGGTCTTGTCTCATTTTGACAACCTATATAGGTTGGCTGTTGTTTTACTCTATTCTGATTGCATTGTGTAGCAGAACTCTTCATTAATCTTGTTCAGAGAGTCTATTGCACTTCTAGCCGACATGTTTCCCTCTTCTCTGTCTGATGTTTTACATGGTCTTGTGACAAGCTGACAGAGTGGTGGTGTATAAACTGAAGACCTTAATAAAGTATTGAGGAATTATCATCCTGTGCTGAGAGTCTTATGCCTCTGGAAATTTTTTAACCTAAAATATTAAGAAAATAGCTAGAGCTACTCCAGGTTGCAGTTAATGCTCTCATAACACAAATTTAAGCTCCTGTTTTAAAGTCTTTATGTTACATTTGTTAAGGCTTTCACCCTTGTCTCGGTGTTCAAGACCCTTGGCATCCAGAGTGTTGCTTCAAAATAGTATTGGGGTGGGGGAGATGGAGGGTTTGGGGCAAACTTGGAATTTAAAAGCCAGCCAAGATATATGCAGAAGGATTTTTTGTTGTTGTTTGTTACCTCCACCAATCAAAACAAACCCTTTCTGGAGAGACCTGTGAGCTTCCCCCCGCCACCTTCTCCTCCAAGAGATTGTAGTCACTAGGATTTGAGCAGGGCTGTCTTTGAGTCCATAGGTATCTAAGCAACTGGCTTAAATAATGATGCAGCTATGAATGTTACTCCACACTCTCATGAGTTGCTCCTTCTGTGTATGTATGCAAAGACTAAGTTGCTGTGAAATACCAAAATTATTTGAGAATTTAAACCTGGTGCATTTTGTGTCCATTTTGTTTCTGTTCTTGCTACTGTGCTTATCAGAGTGTCTTACATATTTTTGATTATGAAAAGGGTGTTATGCTTTTGCCTGGAGGGTTTAAGCCCTTGCAAACCTGTAAGTATTGATATTATCTATCAGTAAATAGATTATTTTGCAATGGATTATGAAGTGTACTGAATGGGACCATTCACTGGTTAGAAAACACTTATCTGAAGAGTAAGATTTACTGCATTGGACCTACAGCTGCTGTTCCTGGGGGAAGAGGTTGCTACTGATCAGGATGGTACTGCAGTGACAAGGAGTGCCTTCTTGTCTTTGCACAGCACTGCTGCTTGGATTTGGCAGGGTGATCCGTTTGCACTGTGGTGATGCTATTTATTTTTGCTGAAAATGGCTTATCTGTTACTTCCAGGTAGGAACGAGGAGGAAAGGGAGGAGGATGGGATTCTGCTGGGTCATTTTTCCTACATGGGGATGCATAGAGGATCTATTAAAAGAAAAAAAAAACCCCTATGATTTGTATTTATGCTACTTTCCTGCTGTTCTCTGTGCCTCAGAGTGCTTCTAACATGCTGAGAGATTGGAAGAAAGAGCTGATGAGGCTTCCCTCCCCCAGAGTGGCTTTTCTGCACATCTTGGCTATTGCGCTGCCAGTAATCCCTGCATAGAAGTAACTGTCAAAGGAAAAATGATAGTAAAATACCCCCTTTTGAACACAGGAGTCCTTGAATAGGAAGAGGAGAATGATTACAGGTGTTTTACCTTTGCAATACAACTGTCTAGTTACCAAAGGCCACATCAAAAGCTAGTTAGATCTTAAAAGGAAAACAGACCCTTTTTGTGACGTTTCAGATAGGTTTTGATGCAGATCTGCAAGTGGCTTTTTCTCTGCATGGTTTCCCCTGACTAGTTACTTGCCCTATTTTGTGTAGGAACACTGAGGGGTCTTGTTTTCCTTCTGCCTACTTTCCTCTATGAGAGCACCAATGCCTCTAAGGGTTGGCGGCACTGGGAGAGGGACCGAGACTGGAGCCATTGCGTGTGGGAGACCATCCTGAGAAGTGGTCATGCTGTGGGAGGCAGTCCCATCTTCATTTATAGTCCTATTTAGTTGCCTTGTAAAGGCAGGCAGCCAGTGGGACAGTTCCTCTGGGAAAAGAAGTTACTTTGTTCGATTGTGTTAGTTTACACCAAGGGTTATTACACTGGCAAGCCGAGGAATAGAGCAGTCCCTCATCCAGATATTAGACAAAGAGGAGGCTACCTACACTGGAAACCTTAACATCTCCTTATCTCTACAGTAAATTAATGGCCTGGCTGTATGTGTTACCAGATTGAAGTCCTGGGAAAGCCAAAACACAGTT